GGTGCACCAGCCCAGCAGGGGCTGGTTCCCCACCCCACTTCAGCCCATGGGGCCCTCCGGGATAGGTGGCCCCACCCGGTGGACCCCCGGGACCCTTCTGGTGGTCCCGGTACAATACCGGTGACCCCCGAAACTTTCCCGATGGCCAAAACTGCACTTCCTATATATAATTCTTCACCTCCGGACCATTCCGGAACTCCTTGTGACGTCCGGGATCTCATCCGGGACTCCGAACAACTTTCGGGTTACTGCATACTCATATCTCTACAACCCTAGCGTCACCGAACCTTAAGTGTGTAGACCCTACGGGTTCGGGAGACATGCAAACATGACCGAGACGCCTCTCCGGTCAATAACCAACAGCGGGGTCTGGATACCCATGTTGGCTCCCACATGCTCCTCGATGATCTCATCGGATGAACCATGATGTCGAGGATTCAATCAATCCCGTATACAATTCCCTTTGTCAATCGGTACGTTACTTGCCCGAGACTCGATCGTCGGTATCCCAATACCTCGTTCAATCTCATTACCGGCAAGTCACTTTACTCGTACCATCATGCATGATCCTGTGACCAGACACTTGGTCACATTGAGCTCATTATGATGATGCATTACCGAGTGGGCCCAGAGATACCTCTCCGTCATACGGAGTGACAAATCCCAGTCTCGATTCGTGCCAACCCAACAGACACTTTCGGAGATACCAGTAGTGCACCTTTATAGGCACCCGGTTACGTTGTGACGTTTGGCACACCCAAAGCACTCCTACGGTATCCGGGAGTTGCACAATCTCATGGTCTAAGGAAATGATACTTGACATTTGGAAAAGCTCTAGCTAAACGAACTACACGATCTTTGTGCTATGCTTAGGATTGGGTCTTGTCCATCACATCATTCTCCTAATGATGTGATCCCGTTATCAATGACATCCAATGTCCATAGTCAGGAAACCATGACTATCTGTTGATCAACGAGCTAGTCAACTAGAGGCTCACTAGGGACTTGTTGTGGTCTATGTATTCACACATGTATTACGATTTCCGGATAATACCATTATAGAATGAACAATAGACAATTATCATGAACAAAGAAATATAATAATAACCATTTTATTATTGCCTCTAGGGCATATTTCCAACACCACCTCCACATCCCCTCCTCCTCGTCATCTCCTCCTGCCCCTACCCCATCTCCTACTGTGATGTCCCTAGCCAGAGCTAGAAAGATCACAAGAGGAACAAAGGGGAAAGTAGCACTTGACCGAGAACGAAGGAGCTTGGGCAGCTCAATTTCATTCATTAATTTGATAATTTGCCCAAAAGGCTACAAGGAGTTTATATCCACACGCTTACAGTCGGTATGTCCGGTCAACACACGCAACACAAAACCAATGCATGCCTACCTTTCCGTCACGGTCCCAGCCGTGTCTGGGACCTGCCTGTCAGACACACACGTAGTTGGTGGGGTTGTGACAATTGCCCCCCCCCCTTGTGTTGGAGGCTCATCCCAGATTGCAGCATTGGGAAAATGATTCTTGAGTACATAGAAATCTTCCCAAGTAGCACATTCCACTGGAAGAGAGATGACCATTGAACCAAAATTTGCACAGTTGCAGCATTACCTTTCTTGACCATACGACGATCTCACCTATAATTGTAGGCCACCTCACCTATAATTTGGTGAATGGCACTAGCTGCATGCATCTCGAATTTGTAGGCGACCTCACCTATTCGTTCCAGCACGTTGAACGGGCCAAAAAATTTGAAAGCCATGTTTGGGTAAGGTCGATTTGCAACTGAAGAACTGTGCATAGGGTTGTAGTTTCAACAAAACAGTGTCACCAACACAAAATGACCGGTCTGCCCGACCCCGATCAGCATAAGACTTCATCCTATTTTGTGCCTTGAGCAAATTTTCTTTGAGCATGTTAGTAACTTGTTGGCGCTCAGCAGCAACATTATGGGCAGCGGAAGCTTGATCCACATATAGGTGAGGCAGTGCACCAAAATTGGGATCCATTTCATACAACGCCTTGAAAGGGGAGCATTTAATGGAAGCATGGTGGTAGGAATTATACCAGAATTCGGCCATTGGAAGCCATTGGCGCCATTTTCCTGGGCAATCATGAACAGCACAACGCAAGTACTGCTCCAAACATTGGTTGACGCGTTCACTATGCCCATCAGTGGCTGGATGATTAGCAGTACTGTAATTGAGCTTGGGGCCCACAGCCTGAATTAGTGGTCTCCAAAAATTACTTATGAAAATATGATCTCGATCAGAAACTATCGTTTCTGGAATGCCATGCAATTTCACCACTTGATTAAGAAAAAGCTTCACCACAATGGAGAAGTATAAGGGTGTCGGAGAGGCATGAAGTGTGCATATTTAGTCAAACGGTCCACCATTACCAGTATGACATTCATGCCCTCCGACATAGGCAAGCCCTCTATAAAGTCCATGGTGATGTCATTCCATGGCTTAGAAGCCCAATGTGGTTCTAATCTCCTCCCTCTAATTCTCCAGTGAAGATTAGCTCTGGACGGCAAAGCGCTACCTAATCATGAAGACTGTGCGCTTGCAACCAAGTAGAGAGGTCATGCTTTCGGTCTTCTGTCGAGGGATCTTTTGTGAGTGGTTCACGGGATCGTTCATCTACAGTTCGAGGGACACCAAATACGATATACACTGACTCGCCTACTTCCGCTGCACTTCGGAGTCGATAAAGATCATTAATCCAAACCTTATATTCATCTTCATATTGCTCTTGGTTGATCATAGGGTGGATTTTTTGTTTTCTACTACGTTTCCCAAAAGCCCATGCAACAGTGTTTCAAGACAAAAGAAGGCACACAAGCCCCGCGAACAACCTCATGCCCCGAAATCTCGACGCAGCCCGAAGTGTGATGGGAGACCCGAATCCTGGGAGCCCCGCTAGTCATTCTTGATCTACAACGATATCGTTCGGAAAGCCACACAGCACGCATGCCGGAAAACCCTTTAAAGTCAGGCTCACGAAGGCAAGCCAGAATAGTCGACAAGAACATGAGGAGCCTGCCTGGGTTCTCGAAGATCAAGATACTCCAATGTCAGACACGCTCGGGGGCTACTGACGGCGCAACAGACCGTGGGTGTCCTCCTGGCGGGGAGTTTGACAACAGGCCTACCATAGGGCCTAGGAGGCCTGGCTAGGACTCAACGGTAGAAGGGAGGTTGGTGGCCCAGATATACATCTAGAGATCATCTTGGCGTGCTAGTTAAGATGGCGGAAAGCAAGATCTGGTATACCCTCTCTAAAACCCTAGCCCCTGTCATCTATATACGGTGGGGCTACGTGTAGCCATTCTTATCTACATGCGTAGAAACATAATCTTGTAGTTTACATCATCACCATTGTAATCCCTCGCACGAGGCACTCTATCTTGACTACAGATGAGAAGCAGGACGTACGTAGGGTATTACCCTCACCGAGAGGGCCCGAACCTAGGTAACTTCCTTGTGCAACATCCGTTCTATTACTTCTGGCCACGTTCGCCAGCCTAACGGTACTCTCGGTTCCACGTACTGTCTGGAAGCTTGATGTACATGCCCTATATCGGTGGCCCAATGGGGCAGCTCTAGCTCTGTGCACGACCGCGTCTGCCCGTCGCTGCATGCGCCCTCCCCGATAAGGCGGCGGGGTGATCGGTGGTGTTCATCACCTTCGGCCCCTGCTCCTCCCAACCGACCATGGGTGCAAGTCCCGATGCCTCTCTGGTCGCAGCTCCCCGAGTCGGAGGCGTGCGCAGCTCACTGCGCGGGGCTGACAACACCGAATCTAGCCAGTCCATGTGTTTGTCCTGTAGATTCACGTCGGTTCCCCTGCCCTCCAACTCCGAAGTAATAGTTGGGTCATCGAGCTTGGCAATCTGCGAGGCTATCAGCCACCAGGGTAGGCAGACCCGGGGATGAAGCCAGAAAAGAAAAAGCTTGTTGGGGTCATATCCATGGCAGTGGGGCCATCTTCTATAAATCAATAGTAAGTTACGGAAGGATTTCATAATTTCACTGGGGTCAAATCGCCCAACGCCTACATGGCAGCTCTGTCCTTGGGTGAACCTCAACTATCGGCGGTCAAAGACATCTTCTGGTCTACATTGAAAATTTCTTAACCTCTACTTCTACAAGCTGTTGAGTTTCAACAAAGTCGCTCCGATAAAGACAAAGGCCGTCAAGCGGCAACGAGCTTTGCTCACGACATGCCGCTTGTGGAGGCAGAAGGAAGATGGTGCAGATTTCGCAATGGACTCACGTGCAATTACATATTCTTGTAAGGGCTTATTCTATTAACATACTAGTACTACAGCCTTTATCATTTTTTGAATGAAAAACTATCACGTGCGTGAGCCATTTCCTTTTGACCCGTACCGCAAGCAGAGTTCCGCGAATGATCACAACTGAGCAGCCTCCCTTTAATATACTCCAAATTAATTTGACCATTCCTGGCCCCACGACTTGCAATATTTCTACACTTAGCCTCGCTTGGTTCGGCGTTTCCGGACCGAGTCCGGCCGTCTTACGGATATTTCTAAAATATATGCGCGTGATTGACCGTTCTACTCTGAATATTCTGGGTGGTTTCTTGCGTTAGAGCACTCTAGAACTAGAAGGTCTCTCAAAATTTACTTTTGTGGGAGAACTTTACGTTTTGAGTGCTTAAATGCTATATCTAGCAGATCCCTCAAACTTTTATCAAATTTTGACCCTGCATTCGTTAAAAACTTCCTCACTTGCTTATTTCCAGTTCAGAGAAGCCACTTCTCATGATACAGTTGGGAGAACTCACGCGGCTCCCATTCTTCCAAGCGGGCCTTACGGGTCTCGTGGAGTCGACCGGCGGCGGGTCCGCTGGTGCGAAATGTCGACGAGCTTACAGATCTCCCCCTCCCCGGCCCTATTTATAGTGCTCATGCTTCCTCCTTCCCAAATAGTAGTACTACCAAACACCAAACACAACGATGGGCTCTAGCCATCGTCCTACTCCTACCACCCTAGTCTTCCTGGTGTTGCTGCTATGCCTCTTCTATGCGCCGCGCTGGGCCTTCTCGCTCTCCTTCAACCTCAACTTCTCCGACCCCATGGCCTTTTCGTCGATCGCCATCGCCAGCGATGCATTCGCCAATACGTCAACCCTCGAGCTCACAAATATTACACGTGACCCAGATATTCAGTACAGCGCCGGCCGGGCATGGTACGCGCAGAAGGTGCCGCTATGGAGCAGCGCCACCGGCGAGATGGCCAGCTTCACCACCACCTTCTCCTTTCGAATCACTCCGGAAAGCCTCCCGAATACAGGCGATGGGATGACCTTCTTCCTCGGGCATTTCCCTTCCAAGATCCCGGAATACAGCAAGGGGGGCGGCCTCGGCCTCCTCCCCAGGTACACTAACGGAACAGGCGACAGCCGGATAGTTGCGGTGGAGTTCGACACTGCTTACAATGTGGAATGTGACAACAACGGGAACCATGTCGGCATTGACGTCAACTCCCTCAACTCAACGGCGTTCACAGACACGACGACCTCGCCGGGAAAGAACCTCACGTCGCTCCATCTTATGGAAGCCACGGTGAAGTACCACAATGATTCCAAGATGCTGGCCGTCGATCTCGTCATCGGCGATGCCCTGTACCAGGTCAATGCAACCGTCGATCTGAGAGAATACTTACCGGAGGAGGTCGCTGTTGGCTTCTCCGCAGCGACTGCCCGGTATGTTGAGCTGCACCAGATACTGTCATGGTCATTCACCTCCACTCTGGTACCAATTCCAACCAGCAGCAACAACAACAACAAAAGGTTGGTACCAATTTTAGCATCTGTCCTAGTTCCTCTGCTTTTTTTCTCTGTCTGTGCGGTGGTGGTACTGGGTTGGCGGCGACACAACAAAGCAAGAGCAAACGAGGACAGCGAAGAAGAGTGCATCGACAGAGCTGATCTCGAGAGAGGTGTGGCTGCCGACGGCCCCAGACGGTACATGTACCACGAGCTTGTCGTCGCAACGAGCAATTTCGCGGAGGATGAGAAGCTTGGGCGAGGCGGCTTCGGGAACGTTTACCGGGGTCATCTCACACTCACACTCGCAAGTGGCATCGGTGGTGACCAAGACCCTCGTGCGGTGGCGGTGAAGGTGCTGTCTGCAGATTCATCGTCCCAGGGGAGGAAGGAGTTTGAAGCAGAGGTGAGGATCATCAGCAGACTGAAGCATCGCAACCTTGTTCAGTTGCTGGGTTGGTGCGACAGCCGCAAGGGGCTCCTGCTTGTCTACGAGCTAGTCACGGAGGGCAGCCTAGACAGGCACCTCTACAGCAACGACGGCAGCTATCTGACATGGCCACAGAGGTACAACATCATACTCGGCTTGGGATCCGCGTTGCGCTACCTCCACGGAGAGTGGGAGCAGTGCGTCGTCCATGGCGACATCAAGCCCAGCAATATCATGCTTGACTCATCGCTCAGCACCAAGCTCGGGGACTTCGGGTTGGCCCGGCTGATCGACCACGGCGCCGGGTTAATGCACACCACCAAGGCCGTGTTCGGCACCGTGGGGTACATTGACCCGGAGTTCGTCAACACACGCCGGCCCGGCACTGAGTCCGACGTGTACAGCTTTGGCGTCGTCCTCCTGGAGATCGCCTCCGGCCGTCGGCCGGTAATCGAGACCGCTGAGAGATCCTTCACGCTGCTCAGCTGGGTGTGGAACCTGTACGGGAGGGACGCGATCCTTGACGCGGCCGACGAGCGGCTGAAGGGCGACGAGACGGACGAGCGATGGATGGAGCGGGTACTCGTCGTCGGGCTCTGGTGCGCGCACCCGGACCGGAGCGAGCGGCCATCCGTGGCGCAGGCCATGCACGTCCTGCAGTCCGACGAGGCGAGGCTGCCGGCGCTCCCACGGCACATGTACAGGGCCGCACAGGATCTTGCGTCGTACGGGTCTTTCTCCGTTGACAGCGCAGGCTCCGGTTGTGTTCGCTCTTCTTCGGTCAGCACCGGCAACACCACTGTTTCTTCCGAGTCGTCCTCGACCGCGCTGCTACGTCATTCCAAGGATCAAGCTACGTAGTTGATTCATCCAGATTTGTAATTCTTGATTAATTTCCTTGTTACGTCCAGTATGCATTGTTTCGCTGGAATGATGTTCGGTCTATTTGGATGATGTTTTTGCTCCATTAATTTTTTTATTGTATATTGGGGGGTTTATGTGTCGGTATGGATGTAGCCTCTTTGTAGATATGAGTATATGTGCGTGTATGTGAGCATGTACGATTAAACTGTGTTAAAAAAGAGTGCCTATAGTATTTTTTTTCAACCACGTGACACATGTGATAAGCAATCCAAACAATTTTAAAAAAATAGTATTTTTTTTCAGTTAAGATTTAATTAATACTAGTATTCATTAACGAAAAAGCCAACTTCCGAACGACCGAACTTCCGCTACAGGTCACCGTCTGCCCATGTTCCTTTTATTTTCTTTTCCCTCCCTGTTGTATCCCTCCCGTCATTTTTATTCTACGCGCTCGCTGCCCAAAAGAATAAGTGAAGAGGGATTCGATCCCTCGACCTCATGAATGGTGGCACAGTCTAGTAAGGGCATCTTCGGCGATGACACGCAAATTGGCTCTCGCATTCGTCCATGGACATGGGGAACTATTCCACGGATACTGATGTGTGAGTCCATCCAATGTTGTCCTATATATGTCTGCTAATAAATGCTAAATGGCAATTTGAAATTTAAATCAAATCAGGCTTTCTGTCCTATCGGACCTGCGATCCGAGCTTGCACGCTCAAGGTATCATCGCCGCTGCATAGGCAACCTCCGCCTCGTTCTCCGCCGCACCATCTCCTCCTTGTCCACCACCTTCAACTAATATTTTTGTCGCTGCAACATCTTGTAGCGGATGGCTTGCACGATCATTCTTGCTTCGGCATCCAAAGCAGGTGGCGCGGACCCGGTCCGAGAAATGGTGAGGTGGTTGCGGTTTGGACGACAACCGCCGGTGGCCTTTCCCTCCTCCACTCCGGCCGGCTGGGCACATGGTGGTAGCGTGGGCACGTGGGCAGAGCCCATGGCTCAGGTGCTGCCCGGTGGCCATCGCTGTATGGGCGGCGTGGTGGCCGGGGTGTGACGTTCGTACCATATGCCGGTGATGGTGAGCGGTGGCCGGGGTGAAACCTCTTTTGTCTTTGGGCAGACCGGCGGCGACAATTTTCGTCTCCCTCTTGAAGGCATCGTCACGGCTCTCGTCGCCCATCGTGTTGCTTCAAGGAAAACCTTGATCTTGGGATCAGGCGGTGACGGTGCTCCGGTGTCGTGACCTTCCTGAAGGTGCCACCTTGAAGCTCACGGTTCGTCATATGTTTCTTTGTCTCTCAGGATGACGTGTTCGTGGTTGAGGATCCCGGTAGCTGTTGTAGCGGTAGGGGCGATGTTGATGCGCTCAATTCCTATCTCTCCGGTCTTGGGTCTGTGCGTGTGTTGGGGGTGGCGTGTGTTTGTATTAGGTTATCAATGGTCATTGATTTATATATAAAACAGGGCGAAAGCCTTTTTCGGCAGTACAACACGAGCAGAGGGCCCACGTTCCTCCATAGTTTAGTTCATACCATTGGCGTCGCAGGCCAGGCCTCCCAGCAATCAGAAAGCTCTTGCAGCATCATCACATCACCCCAGGATTCACGCAATTGTTCAGTAAAACGTGGACGTATGCGATGTACTCCTCTCTCGTCTTCCTCTCGCATCGCCATTAGTTCCATCTTCCACAGTTGGTCTGCGTGTGACATTGAAACGCCGGATCACCGCGGACCAGCACGGCGAAACTGCGCGTGCGGTTCGTTGGTTTCGTCCGATCTGACGCGGCAAAGCAATCGAGCCGTGGTTGCTGCTGCACGCACGTACGCAGGACGTCCAAGTCGGGCAGGCGAACGCGAGCGCGTCACGTACGAATACGACATCGTCGGAACAGTGTTTTGTCTCCGCCCGGCACGGTGATCGATGGGATGGGAACCCCGCTAGTTCCTGTAGTACGATGCATGCACGAATGTACAGCGTGCCTTCCTAGAAAGTGAGACGGCCATGTTGGACTCGTTTCCGCCCAGCTCGTCTACTGTGGATAGGCACGACAATTCTTATCCTAGCTATTTTTTCCAAGTAAATAGAGAGTTGTATTATTATTATTACTATACCCTCCGTTCCTATATATAAATCGTTTTAGAGATTTCAATAAGGACTACATATGGAGCAAAATAATTGAATATACACTCTAAAATATATCTATGTATATCCATATCTAGTTCTTATTAAAATCTCTAAAAAAACTTATATTTAGGAACGGAGGAAGTACATAGCAACAGGTCACTGTCTGCTAATACAAGATTATTACATGAATAAACGGAGGGTTGCGCTGAAACCAACAAGCGGTGTTGCGAGACGTACGAGCATAATCAGCGAGATAGTGTGAAACCCTATTTCGGGATCTAGCTAGCTTAACCAGAACAAACTCCCGCTTCACCATGAGCAGCTTGATTTCATTGATGGGGTAATCGTACAACGATTTAGACAGGAAATCACCAATTAGAGAGGATAATGCTCCCACCGAGTCTGACTGCAGGAGAACAGGGAAATTACTAGAATAGTACATTGGAGTGAAGAGCCAGAGACAATGCCCTTCACAATACCATGGATCCCCGCTTCCAATGCGTCGTTGCAAAAGAACAAAAGATGGCATGAAGCAAATATGGCTTCTTCTGTATTGTCCTTCAGAATCATTCTGGCCCCTGCCAAACCATCATCCGGAGAGAAAGAACCGTGTACCGAGAGAGCTAGCTAGTCCGGTGGGGTGGCATCCATGGCGATTCGAGGGGACGCTGCACTTCGACGTCCGAACCGCGGAAATCATCCACATGAGTCTTGCCTTCAATAAAATTGTTTAATGCTCAAAATTTTCACATATCATAGGGAACTCATGTAGTTGCACGCTGATTTTTTCCATGCATCCGTTGGAGGAATACTCTTGCCGTGGATGGATCATTTCAAAGGTTCAATATTCTCCAAATAATCATGATAATCATATCATACACCTCGATGGGGGGTAGCGCCAAAAGGTGTTGTCACCATTCTTTCCCTGATTCCAGAATCTACTTTTTCGGGGGTATAGGCAGCAGTGCAACTGTGCATGTAAATTTAGATTTTGTTTGAAAAACATCCTTTTTGCTATGGTGTAAGGCCCAGTTCCCAATCTCAGGGTGGGTGGTGGCCCACCCTCTACCTCCGCCACTGGTTACAACGACGATTGTCTTCACAAGGATTAAGGAGGAGGTTCGGCTCTAGGCCCTTGCCAATGCGACATATTTGTGTAATGTAATACCGTGAGAGTAGTCCTTTGTATCATACTTCATGGAAATCGTATAAAACCTCTTTCTTAATCAATGAAAATGACAATCTTTTGCCTTGATTAAAAAAAGATAGCTGGAAATATATTTCCCTCTTTTTTTTTCAAACTAGATAGTGTATTTATATAAACACTGTCGTCTCTGTATTTTGCGAGGATTTGTTACAGTCGTCCCGTTGTTGATACCATATATAAATATTTTATTAAAAATTATCCTATATTTGTCAGAACTTTTTAAATTTTACTAGTTTAAAGTATAAACCGGAAATGGTGCACCAAATACCCAGGGGGAAGGGATGTGTATATCCGGTTTGCAATATGTACTCAGTCAATTGTTGAGTGCTGATTGCCTGATTTTTTTTGTTGAGTTCTCAAATTGTACAACACAATTTTTACATTATGTGAAAGCTTCCCGTTTTTTCTCCAAGGCAACGGATATGGTCGTCGCGGTTCCCTCCACTCTCCGAGTTTTTGTCTGTACCGAAACGTGCGAGCAATGCCAATGTGGGAAACACCGGCGAGGAAGCCAGCCCAAACGTGCCACTACTTCTGGCGAGCCGGTCGGCACCCCCAACCAACCGCAACCGCCACGCGGTAGCCTCATCCATTCCAGCCACACACACCACTCCAACGGTATTGTCTCTAGGACATATTTTCAACAGTAACTCCCCATGTTATAGGAATTGACTTCTGATAATTGTATCTCAAAGTACAACAAACAAGTTTGGATCGATTCAATATGATCATTCTTCTAAGGTCATATTCTCAAAGTTATTTTAGGACTATCGTTCCATTTAACGATACCCTAAGATCCAGAAACGATGATCACCAACAACAACAAATGATCCGGAGATAAATAAAAAAGACAAGATGCTGAGTCACCCTAAGGATGCGAGCCAGTGGCAAGCGTTGAACTTCGAACACCCAGAATTTGGGAATGATCCAAGGAACATCGTGCTGGGCGCGAGCACCGATGGAGTCAATCTGTTTGTCAACCAGAGAAGCACACATAGCACCTGGCCTGTGTTTGTGTGGATGTACAACCTTCCCCCCTAGTTGTGCATGAAGAGGAAGTACATTCACATGAGTATGCTAATTGAAGGGCTGAAACAACCAGGGAACGACATCAATCTGTATCTGGGGCAACTGAAAGAGGAGCTAGACACGCTGTGGAAAACGCCAGCCAATACGTGGGACGCCGAAGAGAAAGAATATTTCCCTATGAGAGCCGCACTGCTCACGACGGTGCAAGACTATTTCGGTTACGGATATGTCGCGGGGCAGGTGGTCCACGGATTTTCTGGATGTGTCAGGTGCATGGATGACACAACGTATCGCCAGCTAGATAGAGATCCCGTGTCTTCGAAAACCGTGTTCATGGGACATCGAAGGTGGCTTCGCGACGATGACTCATGGAGGAGACGTAAGGATCTGTTTGATGGTGAAACCGAACTCCGAAGACGCCCGCGTACGAGGAGCGGCGAGGAAATAGACGAGCTGTTGAAAAGTTGGAAAGATTGCCCACTGCTGGGAAAGAAGCAAAAGGCGCCAAAGCCGGGAAAGAAGCGAAAGGCGCCAGAGCCGCTGCTAAAGGTATGGAAAACGAGGTCTGTTTTCTAGGACTTGCCGTACTGGAAGATCCACCGTGTGCCTCACAGCCTTGATGTCATGCAT